GGGGAAGGGCAGGGGGGGAAGGGGTTCTGGGTTGTCTCCTTTTCTGCTGCACTTCATGAACTTTGCTTCTATGCAGTGAGCTACATTTGTGACCATGTTCTGCCTGTGGGGTTAGGAGCAGATCGAGCCAGTAGGAGGGGGCAGTAAGAGGAGGAGGGAGGGAGGGAGTCGTGAGCCCTGAGTCTGTGGGAGGGGTAGAGTAAGCCTGCCCTCTAGAATCCAGAGCTTGGGGCCGGGTCCGTCTGGGCTCTGGCAGAGTTCTGGTGCCAGAGTAGCAGCCGGGGTCTAGACAGTACCCCTGGGGGTGGCGAGAGACCAGGGTACGCAGAATGAGAACTTGGGAGATAAAGTCTGGGGGGTCGGAAGCCTCTTGGCTGGAGGGCATCTCTGTGGGAAAGGAAGCATCATATTCTGGCAATAGGTGTTGACTGAAACTGCTGTGGACCTATCACAGGGCGCAGCAGTGGCCGGGTCAGGCTAGATGTCTTGATGAAGTGGACAATGTTTTCTCTAAGGGGAGAGGGGCTGGGCCTCTAGGAGCTCAGCCTCTGGGAGCAGAGGGGAGTTGGCTCCAGGCTCTCCCAGCACCAGGGCAGCACACAGGGGTCACAGCCTGGCTTTCCTTCCTGGGACAGAAAGGTCAATATGGCAGCCTGGGTTCCCACTCTCTGTAGGTGAAAACTCTGGGTGGCCCACTCCCTCCTTCCTAACCAGGCCTGGGCAGTAGCCCATAAGAGCTTCTTCCTCCCTCTCTGCTGGTTATTGAGGCTCCTCCAAGGGGAGGCCCTGACACATGAGCACTGACTGGTCACTTTGGACAGTTCCCTTTGTCCTTTCCTCTGACAGGTGGGTCCAAGACAGGGAGGGTCCAGGGAGGGAAGGGCCAGCCGGAAGGTCAAAACCAGGGTGGTGGGGGGCTCCTGCACTGTGGGAGGTAAGGGTAGGTGTGGGCAGCTTCCTGCAGACCCTGCCCGCTGGACCGGACTTGGCCGCCAGCCTGCCCTCCTGTGCTTCTCCTGTCCTCATGGAGGTCCTGGAACAGGGACCCATATCAGAACCCTATCCCCCAAGTCGGCCTGGCACATGGAGACTTCACAGTGTGTGAGGAAGGACAGATGGTAGCATGAAGTGGAGGACAAAACCCTGGGACAGCTCTGCCACTAAATGGCTGTGTGATCTCGGTCCTGTCTTTGCCTCTCCCATCCCCCAATTAGAGGTTGATGGGAGGGCTTCGGTCGATGGATCTCAGACTCTCCTGTGCAGTGTGTATTCCAGTCACCTGGGGACCTTGCTAAAGCAGTCTGACTCAGCCATCTGGGGTAGGGCCTGAGATTCTTATTTCTTTTTCTTTTCTTTTTGTAGTGCTAGGGATTAAACCTAAGGCCTTGCACATGTTAGGCAATAGGCAAACACTCTACCACCAAGCTACAGCCCCAGCCCAATATTTCCTTCCTTCCTCCCTTTCTTTCCTTTTTTTTGATTGAAACCAGGAATACTCTTTTACTGTGCTACATCCCCATCCCTTTTAATTTTTTATTTTGTGACAGGGTTTCATTAAATTGTTGAGGCTGGCCTCAAACTTGTGATCCTCCTGCTTCAGCCTCCCAAGTCACTGGGATTCAGGTGTATACCACCATGCCCAGCTCAATTCTTCATTTCTAACAGGCTCCCAAGTAATGCTGGTGCTGCCAGTGTAAGGACCCCACTTTGGGCAGCAAAAACTCAGACAATCCATCTCATTTGAGCCTTTAGGACCTGGGAACTGGGTCACTTGAGCCCTTTGTGACCACACAAGGCATCAGAAGGGTGCTTTGGGATTAACTTCAGGCTTTGAGGTGGCAGTTCTTAGGATGAGGAGCAGGAGCTCCTTCAGCTCTTAGGTGAGGCTGGGTTTGGGTACAAAAGTCCTTTGGTCACTGGATAATCTAGCCAAGGTTGCTTCTGTTAGTAGAGCTACTTCAGACATCTGAAATATGAAGGATATAACCCACTACTATCCTGGTGGCCACAGGGGCCCTCTGAGGAGGTGGTGCCTTTTATGAGGGCAGCAGCCGTCAGTTTAAATACTGTGATTTTTTACACTGAGGATGGAAATGAAGCGTGCTCAGTTTCAGTTGCTGCATGGCTGTCTCTTCTATGGAAGGCCGTTGCTTTCTAAGGATAGGCAGGAGCGGACAGTTAGCTAGCTTCCCCCTCTGGGCTTTCCCCTCACTGTCCAGCTCACACCCCTGGGTTAACGCGTCATAGTTTGGTAATTGTCCGTTGGAATGTCTGGGGCTCTCGAGAAGGGCTGGGTTGTTCCTATTTGAATCTCCCACAATATTTTTGGCACGAAACGCCTTTCCAATGTCTGACTGCTCTTAGCACTCACTACGCAGGGGCAGCAAGAAGTAGGAGAGGGCCTAGTGTGGGGTGGGGGCGGAAGTCCAGCGGGTTTGGTTGCCCATGTCATTTCCACCCACTTGCCAGGCCTCCTTCTTATGTTGTGGCCAGGAATGGGAGGACCCACCCAGAGATCTCTGGAGGTCTGCTCCGGTACCTCCATCTCTTTAAGATCCGGAATCTTCTGGGACCAGAGGAAGATGCCAGCAGCCCTGGCAGTTCCCGTTGGTCAGGGGAAGCTGGGGTGGAGAGGTGAGGGAAGCACTTCTCTGGCTCCCTATTGGAGGATGAGTGTTCCAGCTCAGTGCATTCCACAGCTGCCATGGCAACCCCACTTAAAGGGACAGCTTCTAGAAGGCTTCAAAGGGAGCCCCTTCTTTAGCACCTTAGAGGTGCTAATTATCGAGAGTGGTAGGCAGCATCTCCAAGCTAGGGACTCAGGGATTTTGTGCTCCTCTGGAAACCCCTCCCCACATCCATGGGTTCACTTTCCAACTCTGATGTCAGCTTTGGTCTCTTAATGGGAAAGGGTACCCTGGTCCCCTTAGCTTCAGGGCCTGTGGGAGGGCCTCCTGCACACACAGGTGGGGACAAGAGATCTGGAAGGCACCAGGGGGTGGACACTCAGGCAAGGAGCACATGCTTTTGAAGTTTGTGTGTGCACCTGCATGTGTGTGTTCAGGATTGATCTATGTTGTGGGTTTGAAAGTCATAGCAAACCTGTGTTCACATACCCAAGCATGCACAAGTGCACATGTGTTTGTATGTGTGTATATGAAGTCGAGGGCCAGAGGCTTCCAAACATACCTAACACTTGGACAATGGTTGGCTCCTGTCTCCGATGCCATGGGGGAGCAGCTTCTTAGAGGAAGGGGATCATGTGGTATTTTATACAGTGAGTGGTGCCTGCTCTAAGCTTTGGGTGCACATCTGAACATCAACAAAGGCCCCCCGTGCAAACTGAGTTCCCAGCATTGGTGTGCCAGTGAAAGACCCCCTCTCAGGTCCTGGCAGGGCTGCTGGCCAGCCCACTGTCCGGTCCAGGCTGAGAGGAGTGGAGGGTGTCAGCCAGCACCAGCTCCCTGGGGGTGGGGCAAGCCAGGCTGTGTGAATAGAGTGTTCTCTGGAGGAAACTGGAGATGAGGCTAGATCCTGCCTGACAGGTCTGTCACCCCATCTCGGCTTACACTTCCAGGGAAACTGGTTACCATGGGTGGAGGCTGGTCCCAGATATCAAGGCCCTGAGGATCTAGCCCTGAGCTTCAGAGAGGGGCAGGAGAGCATGGGGTGTGGTGTGGAGACACCCTTGGCAGGGTCTCCTTTGCCTGGAGGTGCCGGAAAAACCAGGCTTATAAACCAAGGTAGGGCTGCAAGCTCAGGGTGTGGAGACACTCTGGGGCCACCTCATCTCCAAGCCTACAGGCCTTGGTCACTCTTCTTGGGGCACAGTGCTTTTCAGTGTAGCAAGAAGAGCCTCACTAGGCCTTGGGGATCTTGCGTACTTTCCTTCTACTTTATTGTGTGGCTCTAGTTAACCCTCTTTCCTTCTCTGAACCTCAGTCACCTCTCAATCCTTTGGAAGGAGGAAGCTTGAGAGTGGAGAACCAGGAAACCGGGTGCTGAGATATGAAGGGCATCAGGGGAGGGTGGTCCAAGGACAGGATGGTGGGGAGGAGGGAGTCTCATCCCTTGCCTTAGTTCCTGGACCAAATGTTATCGATTCTGGGGTACAGGAGGATGTCACTTTGGTTCTCAGATGCAAGTCAGTTTCCAAAGGCTGGCTGGGGCTCTCTACCCCGAACCTAGCTGTACTCAGGCCCCAAGACTTCCGTATTTCTCCCCAGAACTCAGACACCTCTCACGTTTCCCTTCTGATGACTTCAACCTACTCTCAGGGCCAGACATGTCCCCTGGGATCCAGAATCCATTTCTATTGCCCCCAACCCTGTGACACCCTCTAAAGGGCAAGGGCCTGAGGGTGGAGCCTCCTTGGTAACTCACAGAATGGCTCAGAGGTCTCAGGACCCATTTCTAACCAAATGACAGACCAAGTACAGGGACATCTAGCTCTTTTGGGTCTTTGCTGCTTCTTGTACCTTCAAGAAGAAGCACCCTTGGTCCTTCTGTTGGAGGATGGAGGCAGCAGAAGTCTTCAGTCCACAGGGAGTTGGGAGGAAGCACCTGGGGCAGCCCCCCGCATCCTCGTTCTGTGTGCCATGTTCCCGCCTCAGGGTCCCCAAGGTCCCCCCACCTTCTCCTTTGTTACTCCAAACACAAGTGAATGGGGAGGGACAGGGCTGTGGAGGCCCAAACTCAGGCAAAAAAAAAAAAAAAAAAAAAAAATCTAGGGCTGGGAGCATTTATTGTGATGTTTTCCTTGAAGCTCCCTGTAAAGGACTTGGCCTATCTCTACCTAATTGGTCCCATCCAAAGACTGGGCCACCTGCCCACACAGGTGGGGACAAGAGATATGGAAGGCACCAGCAGGTGGACACTCAGGACCTTGCCTGGCTCTGTTCATCCGCTGGCTGGGCCAGGCCAGATGCCCTGCCCCAGTGGAGTGAAGCCCATGTGGACAAAGGCCCAGTGCACGGTCAGACACAAACAACACACAGCTGTCCAGAGCCTCGGAAGCACCATTTATCCAGGCTCCATGGAGCCAAGTGTCCCCTGGTGTTCAGGGGAACATAGGCACCGCAGTGGCCCTCAGCCCGAGACCCTCCATGCTTCCCAACATGTCTGCTCTAGGACTGCTCACCACAGTGGGGCCCTGGGAATGAACTGGCTTCAGATCCTCCATCCCACACCCCCAGGGACTCCATGGGGCCCAGCCAGCCCAGCACCTGTTAAATAACTCCCTGCAATCCCCTGAAAACAGCCATCCCCAGAGCAACCCACCCACCCTGCACCGGGAATATATTATTCTATCAGTTTCTGTCTCCTATTGTGGAGGGACTCTCAGCTCCAGGGAAAACCATCTCCTTAACACACCAGAGGGGAAGAATTTTCCCATAACCCTGGAGCAGAGACAAAGGGGGCCTGGGTTGGGCTAGAAAAGCCAGGAATCACCCCTGTGTCCTCTCTCTCCCTGGAGCACTTCCTTCTCCTTGCTCTCTTAGCAGCTGGGGCAGGTGTGACTTACCCAACGTCACAGACCCAGGACCCAGAGCCCTGACCCACCCAGGAGGTCACCCTGGTTTTGACAGCCCCAAGCAGCTCCAGGGCAGGGGGCTGACTCCCTGCCTGCTCCTGCTGGGCCCCTGCAGTTCTCTAGCTTCTGAGTAGCTGAGGAAGGTTCCAGCTCTTGACTGCACTCTGTCCAGGACCCTTGGGGCTGTTCACTAGCACCCTCCACCCCTGGCGCCTCCAGGTCTCTCTTGCTCTGGGAATTCTCAGACAGCACCAGGGCATGGAAGCCATGGAGTCTGGGGTGTGGGCAAGCCTGGCCCTGGCCCGAACAGCATCTGGGCCCAGGCCAGGCCTCATACCCAGTATTGGCCATTCCTGAGGGCAGGGTTGGGTGTCCGGCAGAACTGCAGCAGCTCCGGGTCAGGCTGGCCTCCTGGCGGGGACCCCTGTCCAGGCACAGCTGTGAGGGGTATGGCCTGGCCTGGCTCTACCTTGCGAAAAGTCTCTGTGTCCCCGGCCAGGCCATTGCGGGGTTTGGCAGTCAGAATCTGGACGTCATGCTTGCCTGTCTTGTTGCGTTTGCGGAGGTAGAAGAGCAGGGGCAAGATGAGCGCCAGGAGCAGGAGGACCAGGCACACAGGAATGATGATGCTGAACATGTTGGCCTCCAGGAAGCCCAGGAAGCCACCCCTGGCCACAGTGGGCACAGGGCTGGATGCTGCCGGGCCTGGCTCACCCGTGGGAGAGATGCTCTCTGGCTCCCCTGAGTCAGTCTGAGTAGCCTCAGGGACACTGAGCAGGGCCACGCTGTAGGGCCGGGCTGCATTATAAGGCTCGGTAGTAAAGTCCAGGGAGGCCACAGCAGGTGGGACACCCCGTGCCCATAGTTCCAGAGTGAGACTGTCCCCTGCTGGGCCAGGCACCCTACCCTCTGGCCTGCCCACCTCGAGCCCCAGCCTGCCATCCTCCAGGTCCTGCTGAGTGAAGTGCTCCACAAGTGGCCGGCTCCTGGGCTCCGTCCTGGCCCGCGGCACACGGACCACGCGGCCATGCTGGGGTCCCGCCAGAAGCCTGAAGCGGGGCACGCTGCCCGTGCGATTGGCCAGCTCGCCGGCATCCAGCACGGTGGAGTCCAGGCGTAGGGTGGCACCCTGGGGCCACGGCCCACCTGCCCACACGTGCAGCAGAGCCCGCACAGTGACATTCACTGTGGCTGATGCATTGACGCCCCTGGCCAGCGCCAGGACCTTGAAGTGGTCGTGAGAGGAGGAGAAGTTGGTGAAGGCAAAGACCACCTCGCCCTGGTCCACTTGGAGCTGGCTGAAGGCTGAGGCAGGCTGCCCGCCCACCAGGAGGTGCCCGTACTGCGGCCCCTGGGTGAGGCGGTAGGCCACGTCGGGCTCCTCCCGATCCGAAACCACCTGGAGCTGCTGCCGGCTCAGGGGGGAGCGCCCCAGGGCTTGGGGCACCTCCAGGGGGGCTCGCGGCTGCACCTGGATGGCAGAAGGCAAGACGTCCACAGCCAGGGTCATGGGCAGAGGCGGGCTGGCCCCATCAGACATGCTCAGCTGGAAGACTCCCGCCACGCTGCTCCCATTGGCCACAAAGGCCAGTCGCCCCGCATCCACGTCGGCCTGTGTGAAGCGGGTCGTGGGCCCCGGGCTGCCCCCCAGCAGACTCAGGAAGCCATTGTGGGGTGCCCTCTGCACCTCATACTCGATCTCCCCAGGAGCTGAGTCTGGGTCCACCACACTCAGCTGGGCTTGGGAGACCAGGGCGCGAGAGCCCCGCGTGAGCCTCAGCGGCGTGGAGGCCTGCGGCTGCGGAGGCCTCTCGTTCACATCCCGCACGGTGATGCTGAAGGCCTCTGAGGTTTGAGGTCCCACTACGGAGGCCCCAGCTGGCCCCTGGAGATGAGCACGGAAGCGGAAGCCATCCTGCTGGGTGCCCCCACCACCGTGGGCATACACCAGCTGTCCCGCAGCCACCTCGGACTGCAGGAAGTGGGGCCTCCCGGCGTGGAGGGGCTCCTCAGACACCAACAGCTGGCCCCGGGTGGGGAACTGGGTGACCTGGAACAGCACGTCATGCTCGGGGCGCTGGGATGCTGGGACACTGGCCAGGAGGTTGGAGGCATCAAGAGCAGCGACGGTGATCTTGGCCCGCTGGCCCTCAGAGACCCAGAGACCTGGGGGTGGGACACAGGCTGTGAAGGTCCAGTCCACTGAGGGAAGAGCCCAGATGGCTAGAAGGGGGACTCCAGGGCAAGGTTGTGCCTTCCTTCAGACCAGGTACCCCAGAATTGGGCTGGGGGCCCTGGGGGGACAAGGATTCTATCCCCCCATCACAAAGCCCCCAACCCAGCCTTCCTATAACTTCCCAGATCTCGGGGAGCTGTAATAGGAGCTGCTGACCAGTCCTGTAGCCCTCCTCGTGGGGCCTCTCCCTTCAGCCCCAACCTTGCCAGGGCATCAGCTTCTCACCTTTGTTTCTCCAGAGGCGGGTGAGACGCTGAGGACAGGTGGCCTCAAAAGAGATAGTCACAGCGAGGGTGGCAGCCATGTCAGGAGCAGGGGGCGAGGACAGCAGGAGCTCTATGGCATCATGGGCTTCCCAGAAGGGCTCAGGGGACATCTCGTGCTCATATAGGACATTCCCAGCATATACCTGAAGGAGACACCGTTGTTGGGGGTTACAGGCTGGCACCGGCACTGGGCACTCCTGTTTCCCCAATACTCCAGTGCCCAGCCTCACTCTGTGCTCTCCCAGCTGTGCCCAGGCCTGTGTGCGTGTATACTCTGCTCTCTGCCTCACCAGCCCAGGGGTCGCCATTAGGCAGTTGGGTGGCAGCAAAGGGCTGGGCTCAGCTGCCTGGGTTCCTATCCCAGTTCCACCAGCTGTGCCAATCCCCAGCTCTCAGTCCCTGGGGAATGCCATCATCTAACTGTGCTCCCATTGACTGCAAGTCCTTGGGATCCACCAGGTCCCTTCCTCTCTGACTTACTAAACACACCACTTCTATAATCTCCCTTCTTTCTCCAATTGGATCAGTGCCCCCCCGCCCCCATGATCAGTCGCTCCACTCAGGCTTGTGATCCGAAACTTGTTTTTGCCAAGGGCACCAGGGGGCTCAGGGGTGTCAGACCCAGGGGCAGGGTCTCCGGCCTCACGGACCTGCTCGGCATCATTGACCAATGGAGCAGTCCTTCTCCAAGATAGCTGTTGATTTCTGGGACATTCTACCCTCTGGGTTCTCCTCCTAGCTCACAGACTCTTGATGGTTTCTTTACTTCTCTCCAGCGTCTTATGGAGAGGCCTTTGACTGTCCTGCTAGATTCCCTGGTGCTTTCAAGCAGATGCAGGGCCTCAGACAGCAGCTCTGCTAAAGACCCCTGATCCATATCTCTAGTCCAGAATGCTCTTGCCTGAACCTGAGACCTGAGAAAGATTTCTTTCTTTTTTTGGTAGTGGGGAATGAACTCAGGAGTGCTTTAACCACTAAGCCACATCCCCAGCCCTTTTTGTTTTTTGAGACAGGGTCTCACTGAGTTGCTTAGGGCCTTGCTAAGTTGCTGAGGCTGGCTTTGAACTTGTGATCCTCCTGCTTCAGCCTCCCAAGCTGCTGGGATTACAGGCGTGACCCACCACACCTGGCTCCAGACTTAGATTTCTACCCAAGTCCTCAGCAGTACCATGTGGATGTCCAATGGACATCTCAAGCTTCACAGATCATTTGGACTCCTGCTCTGCCCTGCCTCCCAGTCTCCCACCACAGATGATGGCAGCTCAACTCATCAGTGTCTCAGTAAGAACCACAGAAGTCCTCTGTGGCTGTTCTTCACCACCACATCTCCTGCCTGGATTGTAGCAATAACTTCCAGGCTTGGTTGCTGGCCCGCGCCCTCTACAGTTTGTTCTTTATATGGAAACAAAGTGAGACTAAAAAAGTCAAGGTTAAGATCTTTTTTTTTTCTCTTCTGAGTCAAGTTCTTGCTATGTTGCCCAGGCTGGTCTCCAACTCTTGGGCTCAAGTCATTCTCCTGCCTCAGCCTCCTGAGCAGCTGGGACTACAGCATATACCATTGTCCCCAGCTTATTAGGTCACTCTTTTGCTCAAATTCTATAATGGCTCACCATTTGAACACAAAGGCCCCATAATAACCCTGTTGCTTCTGTGACTTCAACTCCCTCCAACAATCGCTTCGATTACAGGCATGTGCCACAGCACCAGCTCTGAATAGAAACTTAGTGTGCAGAGACTCCAGGCACAGCGGGGACTGGGGTGGGCTGGGAACAAACTGGTCTAAATGGGGAGGAGATCTTGTGCTAAGGGAGGCGCTGATCCTCAGGAGTTTGCTACAAGAGAGAACACAGGCCTTTTAAGAAATGGATAATCAGGGTTTGGGGAACACCATGATTTATATGCTGATGGTTAACTTAAAAATATAAATTCAAAGTGTGCCCAAATAAAACACATCTGTGGCTCAGATGTAGATTGCAAAGAATGAAAGACTCCCAGGCTGATGAACAGGCTGCCAGGGAATGGAGACCCCCAAGCAGTGGGTGTAGGAGGCTGGATGCCTGTATTCCAGAACTCCTGTGAGTAGGAGGTGTCTGGAGGGGAGTCAGGTAAACCCAGGCCAGGGAGGAGGGATCCCTGGGTTGCGGGAAACAAGCACTGTCCTCTGGTGAAAGGAAGATCAGCAGTCAGAAGGCAGTGCTGGTTTTGTCTCTTACTAGCCACATGCTCTCACCTGACCTCCATGAGCCTCAGTTTCCTTATCTGCAAAGTGGGGACACCTGATCCCTGCCCTGCCTAGCTCAGAGCAATGTAGGACAGCGGTGCTATTAAAACACTGCCAGTCTGGTCCTGCCCTGCCCCCTACCCCTAGTGGAGGAGGATGTCTCTGCCACATAGCCTCTTCCCAGCCTCCCTGGGTGACACTGCCAGCCTGGGCCCCTGGTGGCCATTCAGTCTAGCTCTTCATTTATCTGGGGTATGAGGGAAATTAATGTGGGGACTGTAGAGCTAGGGAGGGGTACATACAGCCTCATCCTGTGCCTTCTCCCTTCCTGAATATTCAATGTCACGGCTCCTAGAGAATTGGGGTACTCAGCTGCTGTAGCCACTGGCCTGCTGGGTATTTTGCTGTGGGAGGGGGCAGGCAAGGGGCCCTCGTAGGAGCTGGGGTTCCAGGAGAACAGGAAACCCAGCTTTACAGCATTGATGCGATAGACCTAAGAGCTCTCCCTCCACCTTGGTCAAAGCCATCCCCTTCCCTGTCTGCGCTACTTGCTGAGGCAGGGACTGGCTTGTCACGTGCTGAGTTCCACTTAATGTGGTGCTTCTCAGAAGAGACTGGGCACCCTGGTGGGGAAGGAATGATTAGGGCTTAGGAGGTCTCTGGGAGGAGAGGAGAGGGAGTTGGAAAGGGACCTAGAGGTGGGGGTCTACTGTTTTAGAGGGAAGGCAGGTCCCCTGGGAGGTCCTTGAAGCAGTACCAGTCCTGAGCACCCCAAGACTGCCCCTACTCAGGACTAACTGGGATCCTGTGCTGGGCCTGGACACCAACACAGCCTCTGGGCAGGAGCATCAGGGGCACTGGCAGCTCAGCAGAGCCCGTGTTCTTCTCTGCCTTTGGGGAAAGACAAGACTGTCAGGAAACTCACAGCACCTCTATCTACAGAGGCAGTGATGGCGGCTGGCCCCACAGATGCAGTTAGCAGAGAGCCCTGCAATCCCAGCAGCCTAACAGCCTGCCTTTACCTGTGACTGAGAGTTCTAATTCTGACTGGTGGCCCTGGTATGCCCAGGGACAGCTATACTCTGAAGCTGCTCTGATGGGTGGCAGTGACTTCACTCCCAGCCTGGCCTACTCAGCTGCCTGTCTACCGAGCTGTTCCCACAGCCCGCTCTGCTCCTTGGGGGCACCTGACTCAAGCCCCAGGCTCACTCCTCTGCCCTCAGCCTAACTTCATCTCAAGCTCTATCCCCTGAACCAAGCACCCCCCCCTCACCAGCTACTGGGCTGCCTCTGCTGCCTTCTCCCCTGCATCTTTCCAAGCCTCTAGGATCTAGTTGCAGCTTCCCCGGATACTGGGCCCCAGGACCTTATCCTTGCTTTGGGACCCTGCAGCCCTGACCTTCTGTATCCTTGTCCTGCTCCCTTGGACCACTAAACCCCACCTGCTCCACCTGCCTGGCAGTTCCTGGAGTGCAGGCCCTAGGGAGGGGGGTGGTCTGCTGCTAATGATGCTGGAGCTGGTACCTGTGTTCATGTGGAAGTCTTTTTTTTTTTTTAAATATTTTTTTAGTTGTTGTTGGACACATGCCTTATTTATTTTTATGTGGTGCTGATGATTGAACCTAGCGCCTTGCATGTGCTAAGTAAGTGCTCTACCGCTGAGCCACAACCTCAGCCCCATGTGGAAGTCTTTAGGCCCTGCAGGTCACCTGAGTTTGGATGGAGATCTGCAGTGGCTGCAGAGTTGGGCCCTTACCTCAGCCTGAGTGAAGTTCACCAGGGCCTCCCCAGCACTGCCCTGCTGGACGTGGAATAGCCGGCCAAGCTGGGGCCCCCGCAGCACTCGGTAGAACAGGTGGTGGGGGTCTGTGCCTGCGCTGGAGCTGGCTCTCAGGCTCTGGCTGCTGAGAGGCTGGACAGACTCTGTGAGAGGCAAAAAGGGCTGATCAGCCTTTGCCCAGGAGCCAAGACAAACCCTGCAGCCGCCAGAGGCCACATGGTCCTGGTGGCTGTCCTCAGCTTTGCCCTAGCTACTCAGCAGACCCACCTGGGCAGACAGTCAGTGTCCGGCTGCCCTCCAGCGACAGCAGCACTTGCTTCTGGGCTGCCACGCGGAAGAAGTGTCCGGAGGAAGTGTGCTCCCCATCAGAGAGGTCAAAGCGGAAGCCTCCATCCAGGGCTCCTGAGGACAGGGGTGGAGCTGAATCCCACTGGCCCAAGACGGGTCCCTACCCTCAGGACATCCCCACTGGCTGCAGAAACCCAAGCACTCACCTCTATGCGAGAACAGTACGAGCCCGCTGTCCAGCTGGGCCTGTGTGAAGTGGTGGACCTCGGTGCCTGGCGCCATGCGCAGCACTACACGCCCGTTGCTGGGCTGCTCAATGGTGTAGACCAGGTCCTCGGGTCCCGAGTCGCCGTCTGTGCTCCGAAGGGCCTCAGTAGGTATGGGCACAGTGGCCCCCTCCCACATCTGGGGACATAGGCCTGTGAAGTTTCCATCCCTGCCATGCTTACCCACCCCCGTTCTCCTGCCCTGGGGCCACCATCTGAGGGGTGGGGTCTTGCCCCTAGGTCCGGTTACATGTCCTTCTGGGTCAATCACTCATGAGCAGTGTTGAGAGGGACCCCCATTCCCAGAAACAACGGTCTTTTGGCATTCCTGGGCTCCTCCCTCCTACAGCCCTAGGAAGAGGAGGCTCCAGCCCTGGGCTGGGGACACAAACATGGGTGGATGGCACCACCTGGTGGCCAAACTGCCACACAGCATTCCTGGCGGGTGATTGCCCAGGCAGCCTTTAGTCTGAGTCATACTGGTTTCCCCGCCCCCCAGCTGCCCCCCAAGGTATATCCTGAACCACAAAGGACTCTGTGCCCTATGTCAGAGACAGCCCAGCTTAGCCCTCTTCTGGAAATTATTTAGTACTTGGAGTTGAACCGAGGGCCTTGCACATGTGAGGCAAGTGTGCTACCACTGAGCTACCTCCGTAACCCTTTTTTATTTTGAGCCAGGCATGGTGGCACATGCCTGTAATCCCAATGACTGGGGAGGTTGAGGCAGCAGGAGGATTGCAAGCTGGAGGCTAACCTCAACAACTTATCAAGACTCTCAAAATAAAGAATAAAAAGGGCTGGAGATGTGGCTCAGTGGTAAAGCACCCCTGGGTTCAATCCCTGGTACAAAGAAAAAAAAAAAAAAAGGTGGGGACATGGTTTAAAATTTATTTTGAGATATGGCCTTGCTAAGGTGCCCGGCCTGGCCTTGAACTTTCTATCTTTGCACCTCAGTCTCCTGAGTCAACAGAATTACAGGCATGAGCCACTGCCCCTGCTTGGAACCTTATAGAGCTCCTACTGACGGCGGTTGTCTTCACCCCGGAAGCTGGCAATCAAAGCCCTGCCTATCCCGTGTTGTGCCATGTGGGCTGGGCCAAGCTGCAGCCTTTCTGTTCCACAAATAACATTTATCCTGTCTGGGCCTCAATCTTCACCTCTGCAGAGTGGGGGTGCCACTGCTCTGCAGTGGCATAAGGGTCGGGAGAGCCCAGCTATGGCCTCTGCTTGTGGAGGATGGAGGTGGAGGCTTAACTTCTCCCCACCTCAGGACCACCCTTAAGGACTTGTAAGAAATTCTGTCAGGTGTTTTGTTTTAGGAAAAGCCTTCTGCTACAAGTGAGTCCAGGAGCTAGCAGGGCCAGTGTAGCCATTCACGAGGCTACTGGCTGCACTTGAAAGCATTCAACAACGAAAGCTCACCCCTGTGTTCTGTCCTCGGCACGGTATCCCATCTCGTCTTCCAACAACCTACTAAGGCATGTGCCACTTTGCAGAGGAGGAAACTGAGACTTGGAGGGGGGTGTACTATATGCAGGGAAGTAGGGGACCCTGGCCTCTTCATAGGAGCAGAGATAGGGGTGGTCCCAGGGATGCTCCCACCTGCAGGCCTGTGTTTGTGATGAGGACAGGGGGCTGGTCATTAACTGGCAGGATGGTGATGGCGAAGGTCACGGGATGACTCTGGCGGTCCACCTCAGAAGCATTTGCCACCAGGACAAAGCTGTCTGTCAGCGTCTCACTCCCGTCGTGCACATAGCGGATCAGCTGCTCCTCCACCTACAGGCAGGCGCAGGGCTGGCGGTCAGGCCCCAGCAGGACCGGGACTTACAGGGGGTCTTAGGCCCAGCACCCTCGTGCCCTGCTTTTGGGTGTAGGAGGAGACCGCCTCTTCAGAGCTTTAGCTTCCATAGGGGGAAGGCAGGAAGAATAATTTCTACGTCCCAGAGGGATTGAGGGGAAAGTGAGATATAAAACAAGGTGGTCCCTAAAGTCTGTGGCTCCCCATCTCTTCTCAGTACCTACCCCTAGACTGGGAATTTCTGGGGCTCCTCACTCTGTGCCCAGGGGTGGGCAACCGCACAGCCCCTGGGTCTCCCGGATAGCTGTACCTCTTTCCAGGAGAAGGTGCTGAGGGTCCCATCTTGAGCTTGCTCCTCCCTCTGCAGGGCCCCGTGCTGGGGCGGCTCCAGCACCTGCAGGTTGAGGCTTGGCAGCGTGGGGAAGTAAGGCCCAGTGACACGGAGCAGCGGAGGGGCCAGGGTGCGGGTACCACCCTCGGGGACACTGAAGTTCTGCGCCTCCAGGGGGATGGCAGTGGGCAGCACCTCCAGCTCCATAAGGATGCCCTCGAGGGGAGCACCCAGGCCAGAGGTCACGTCCAGGGAGAAGGTATCACGCCAGGCCTCAGGGCGGGAGTGTAGGTACAGGACGCGGCCCGCATCCACGGCCTCCTGAGGGAAGCTGTGCACGGGGTCCAACCTGGGCGGCTCATCCACTGAGGCACCATGTGACACCATCACCAGGTAGCCGGCACTTGGGGGGCTCTTCACTGAGAACACGATGTCTGCTGGCGGTACTGCCTCCTGGGCTGCCTGGTCAACAGAAGGCAGTGGGGACTCACAGCAGGCCACAGAGGGGCCGTCTCTCTCTTTCACACACACACACATTCTCTCTCTCTCTCTCACACACACACACACACACACACACACACACACACGCAGGGTTGTACTCAGACTCTGCTAAGGTGATTCCTGGTTTGCCTGGAGCCTTCTGTCCCCCACCCTGCTGTTACAATCTCTGGCCACCAGAGGGCGCCCAGTCCTTCCTAGAGGCTCAGGCTCCCACACTCCAGATCCCAGAGAGTCTGGAGGGGGACCTGCCCAAAAGCTGTGGGGTGCTCCCTCATCTGAAGAAATGGAGCCACAAAAAACAAGGTTAAACACTACCACCAAATGCACATTTCTGATCCTGTGCCTCTGCTTAGAATATCATCCCTTTCCCCTGCTATTGACACCCTGTATTCTTCAAAGCCTGGTTCAAATGCAGCCTTCTCTAGTGGGGGGACATCCTGACGCCAGATGTGTTTAGTCAGTCTCTCCAAAACTCCAGACACTCAGGGCTTCAGAATCTGGCAGTGTAGGAGAATACAGCCAAGAGAGGGCAAGGGCCTGGCCCGAGATCACGCAGCAAGTCAATGAGCCTGCCAGACAGCCTGTGGTTGCTCTGCGAGGTTCCTGGGTGGTGAGAAGCCCTTCACCGATTGTCACAGTCCTGGAAAAGGAACTGAGAGTGCAGGAACTTGAGAGACACTGAAGCCTGTTTCCACGTCCAGCAACTCCCAAATCTCTGTGCCCATGATAACCTCCCTGGGAACTTACTAGAATGCAGACTCTTGGGCTCCACTTCAAAGATTCTGAGCATCTATCTATAGCCCAGGAGTCTGCATGGCTAGCCACAGCAGGCGCACACGTGTGTATATCTGAAGGCACATACAACTCATGGGCAGATGTGTGTCCCACAAGTTCCCCAGAACCTGTGGGCCACAACACATACACATCGAGGCAAGGGCACACTCACCCCAGAAGCCAGCACTCACATCCCCAGCACACAAGCATGCTCGGCAGGAGGCCGCAATGGAGGCCCCACCTGGCCCAGCCTGGTCCACCCAGCTCCTTACCTCCAGTTGGTCCCTTCTGATCTCAGCTGCTTCCCCCTGGAAGACGTAGATCTTTTTGTGCTGAACCAGTTGCAGTGGGGCCACTGGGCCCTCCAGAGCAATGGTCACCTGTAGGGTGGCATCTGTGTGCACTGGCCCTGCTTCCACAGAGAGTGATAGGGTGTCACGGGGGCTGAGGCTGCCATTGTGGCTGTAGAGAATGGCCCCATCCAGCAAATCCTGATGGGAGAAGCTGGTGGTTGGCTGGCCAGCCCGGAGCAGCTGCCCCCAGCGAGGGCCAGCTGTGACGTGATAATGGACCTCATCCCCACTGCGGATGTCCAGGTTGGTGTCTAGATGGAGCACTGCGGTATCGATGGTGCCCTGGCCTCCTTGAGGGACCACGAGGCTGGAGCCATTGGCCACACGGAGGTAGGGTGCGGAGGCCTGCACCTCGAGCATTGCGGTGGCCTGGTGCTGCCCATCGGACACCTGCAGCTGCAGCCAGCCGTGGTCAGCCCCTGAGTGCACAAACAGGACCTGCCTCTTCCTGAGGTCCTCCTGTGTGAAGCGGTAAATGGGCCGGCTTGGCTCATCCACAGCCACGATGCTGCCAAAGAGGAGGTCCTTGCGGGTCAGCACCAGCTGAGCATCAGTGAAGCCCGAGTCGGCGTCGCTGAAGGCCACGTCGTCCGTCGTCAAAAGCCGCTGTCCACCTCGGGCCACGTGAAAGACACGGCTGATGGTTTGCACAGGGGCGTGGTCATTCACAGGCTGGATGGCCACTCGGAAGACACCCCGAACCTCCTCCCAGGCCATGTCACCGCTGCCCTCGCCCTGGCGGGTGGCCACAAATGGGATATCATCTTCTGTGGTCTCGGAGTCATCATGCTGGTAGACCAGCCGGCCACGCAGCAGGTCTTCGTTGGTGAAGGATGTTACCATGGTGGCCTGTTCCTGTGGCTCCCGCCAAGCCAACCTTCCGTGGCGGGGTCGCTCCATGACCTCATAGAGGTAGCTGGCACTGTTGAGACTCTTGACAAAGAGGTGGTCAGCAGACAGGACACCCTCACCACCCTCGGGCACTGAGAGGAGGACGTTGGTGAGCACCGGAGCATCTGGGTCACCACCAATGTGGATAGGGAAAGTATAGAGCGGGGAGAAGTGTGGAGGGGTCGTGACGCGGAAGCGGAAGGAGTCCTCGACTGCCTCTGAGGCCCGTGCTGTGGCCCCATAGGTCACCCGCCCAGCCTGCAGGTCATCCTGGCTGAAACTCTCGCCATCTGCCAGCCTCCTGCCCTGTAGCTGAAGGTTGCCTTTCCTGGGGGCCTGAGTCACCTCGTAGTGGAAGGACCGGGGCCCCGGGCCTGCCTCCTCCACGGCAGCCTCCAGGTGGGCTGTGGTGAGGACCTCCTGCTGGGTGTTCTGGGTGTGCAGCGGCTCTAGCCGCACCATCCACACCGTGGCTCTCTGGATGCTCACTGGGAAGGTCAGATTGCTCAGAGTCTCCTGGCCCACCTGCACCTCCAGGGCCAGGTTCTCCACGGTGTCCTCAGAGTGGTGCTGGGGATCGGTGCTCAGGTACCTCACCCGGCCCTGCTCCACGTCGCGCTGGTGGAACGCCTGCGTGGCCCACCACTCTGCGCCCTCCGCCCCCCCTGCCCCCTGCTTCTGCAGCTCCCCGAATTGCAGGGTGCCCGTGACTCGGAACAGCACACTCACATCCTGCCCCACAGCGTTCGTCTCCACCGAGAGGTTGGCGGGCAAGATGGGGGTGGCAGAGCCCTGGGCCAGGCGCAGCCCCGTGCTGTGACGGATCCGGATGGCTGGCCGGACAGCCACTACCTTCAGTGTGGCTGGGGGGCTAGCCTGCAGCCCATCACTGACACGGAACGTCAGGTCCTGTGCGGGGCCATCGCGGTGGACGTACACGATGCTACCGGCCTCTAGCTCCGGGCAGGAGAACTCCGTGGCCGGCTCCCCAGGCTGGTCTCGGTGCTCCACAGGGAGGCGGGTGGAAGCACCTAGGAGCTGGAAGGTGAGGCCCTCGCAGGCAGAGTCGGGGTCATAAGCCTGGAAAATCTCGGGCCCCAGAGGCTTCTGTGTGTGTTCCAGGATCACCATGAGATTCCCGTGCGGGAAGATGATTCGGGGTGGGTCATTGACAGGGTTGATCTGGATGGGCAGGAGGTAAGTTTGACCCCTCCGTAAGCAAGAGGGCACAGGTGCCCGAGCTGTCACTGACACCTCCAGCACCAGCTGGTCGGAGGTGTCCTCAGAGCCGTCGTGGACGAAGCGGGCCTTGCGGTTCACCACGTCCAGCAGAGTGAACATCTTCCGGGCCTGGGCACCAGGGATGTCCAGCTCCAGCTCGCCATGGCGTGCCCCCCGGCTCACACTGAACAGCACCTGGGATTTACGGAGCTCAGCTTCAGTCAGGTCCAGTGTGGGCTGCACGTGCCGCCACTCAAGCCAGGCCGTGCCACCCTCGGCCACCACAAGTGGGCTGATGGTCAGCAGTTGGGTAAAGTTGGCAAAGACAGGAGGCAGTCCGGGTTCGGGGATGCATGGCTCAGGCAGCTCCATGGCTGGCCAAGCCTCAGGTGCCACGGTGGAGAAAGCCTCGTAGGGGCCGTAGCCGTCCTCCTCGTACTCGTCTCCCTCCAGCCTGCAGCCGGCCGTCATGCCGCGAGTGAGCAGGGCTTCCCGCAGCCCCTGCCTCTGGCCATTGACGCTGAGGTCCTCCATGCAGCCCAGCAGGGAGGCGTTGGCAGCCCCCGGGGCCAGGCTCAGGCGGTGTTCCTGGAGGTGACGGGAGGCCTCTGTGTCCAGTCCCCCCAGGAGGAGACTGCCACGTGGCTCCAGGTAGCTGAGAACCCCACGGTTGGACGTACGTGTGGGGTACTGGTCCACAGAGATTTCCAGCCGGTGAGCATCCATGTGGATGCTGACCTCATGGGGCTGTCCGTCGGCCACAGGCACGCTGTTGTGAAGCAGCACGGTGCCCTGGCCCTTCTCAACCACAGCCCGCAGGTGGCCCTCGAATATGTCTACATAGATGAAGTCCCCCTGCCGGCCCCCTGCCTGGAAGGCCAAGGGTGCCTGCTGGCTCTGGGTGGTGAGCGTAAACTCCAGCGTGCCTTCGTCCTGAGTGCTCCAGGCAGGGAAGGCAGCCAGTGAGTGGGGCCCAGAGAAGCCCAGGGCCACATCATTGCCAGCAGAGAACTCCTCAGCACAGCCGTCAGGAACATCAGGGGTCAGTGGCCTGAGGAGGCTACGGCCATTGAGGGTGGCTGCATGGAGGCAGCCCCTCAGGGGTCGGCTGGTTCCTCTCAGGTAAGGCAGGCTGAGGCTCCCACAGCCCCCCACAAAGAGCCCATAGGGGACCTCCAGGGGGGCTCCCTGGACTGGGGCGGAGGTGTTCAGAAGCCCATCGACAGAGAGCAGGGCCCAGCTGTCTGAAATGGTGAGCACCACAGTGTGGGGGGCTGAGTCGCTGAGCAGCATCTCCCCCGGTGTCTGCAGCCTCAGCTCCTCGTGGCCCAGGACGAGTCTGACCTGAGGAGAGACAGGGAGATCAGGGCACCCTGAATCTACCCTTCCCCTACAAAAGCATAGTGTGTCCCTCACACTTGGGGTTCCCTGAAAAAGGGGTCCTAGGACAAGGGCCCTTGTTGCCTTCTTGCCATTTCTTTACTCATCTCCAGAAAACTCAGCAAAAGGAACTCAGCCAGGTCTGGAGAGACTCAGGGACCCTGATGTGAATCTGATCCTGCTCACAGGGGACTGCTGCAGAGCAAGATGTTCTCCCAAAGATTCGATTCATATCTTTATTCTTCTTCCTCTTTCCTTGGGTGAGAGGTGCCAGAAGAATCACCATGGGTTCTAGAAAATTCTACCTCCAAAAAAATGAGCACTTGGAAATTGTCTGAAAGACCCCATAAGGAAGGCAAAGTCATTGAAGGCCATTGGGGTGACTAAAGGCGGCTGGGCTCACTGTTCAGGGATGGGGACTCAATCAGTGTTTTGATAGTTTAATAAAGAAAATCTCCCTGACTTGGGGGGACGGGGACTCCGTGTATGTGGGGGTCTTCCATAACATCAACACCAGAACTGGCTGTATTGATACTTCCACAACCAGGCAGTAGAATGGGTGGTGGTAGAGCATGGGACCTTGGGAGTCCCAGTATGGAGCACCCTCTACAGGGTGGCCACCACCATCATTCCTGCAGGGCAGAACTGCATCAGCACCAGACCACACCAGGCCAGGGTTCCACAGTGACACCTTGTGGCAGTGAGAAGCAATGGCGTCAGCAGACTGATCAGGCCACAGTCCTCTTCCCATTGGGGTGTGGAGCAGATGGATCTGCCAGATGTGGACTAAGACCCTGGGTTCTCACACTCTTCATGATTAGAGGGAAGACTCAAGGGAGAGCCAGAAGATTCCTTGGTAATAAAGTTTGTGTTAAAGGATGAAGGGAAAAATGAGGAGGCTCAGCTGGCAATACTGGCCATTACCATCATGGATGAACAGTAGCCACACAGCCTAACTAATGCAGTGCCAGAGGATGCCCAGTGGACAGTGGGAGCTCAGGAGAGGGGGCCTAGGTAGGGTAAGCACCAGGGGACTCTCTGGGCGAAGGGATGTGTTATGTGAGGTGTCCCCCAAAAGCACATGTGTGAGACAGTGCAATTCACGGGAGAAATGATCGGGTTGTCAGAGTCTTAACCCAATTAGTGAATTAATCCCATGATTGGATTAACTGGGTGGTAGCTTGAGACAGGTGGGGTGTGGCTGGAGGAGGTGGGACATTGGGGGCATGGCTTTGGGGTATATATTTTGTATCTGGCAAGTGGAGTCTCTCTTTCTGCCTTCTGATCATGATGTGAACAGCGCCACGCTCTTCCACCATGATGCTTTGTCCCACCTTGAGCCCCGAGGAAAGGAGGTGTCGTCTGTGAACTAAGACCTTTGAAAATGTGAGCCCCCAAATCAACTTTTCTTCCCCTACAATTGTTCTGGTCAGGTCTTTTAGTCACGGCAGAAAAAAAGCTGAATAAAACAGGCTGTTTGCATTGAGGTGGGAAGGAGACCAGGCTCAGCAGGCCCAGGGAAGGGTGAACACACGGTAGAGGAAAGGCCTGCAGCCAGAAGTCGCCGATGGCCAGGGAATGGGAACCGGTTCAGGGTGCTCAGAGCTGAAGTCTAGCTAGGGACATGGTGAGGGGCCAGGCTGGTCACAGGGGACTGCTGCAGAGTGGCTGTGGCTGGGGGGCAGAGTCTTTTTAAGAGGGAGTCACATTTTCTGGGATGCTGCTACCCATTTGCAGTGCAGCACTTGAGACTCCAAGGTGAAAGTACTTGCATAAGGCCACGTGACCAGCTGGGCATCATTCTAAGCTAGAGAAGGAATCCTGTCCCTGGTCCCAGAGGAATGTCACTGACCTGTAGGCGTCCGGAGTAGAGTTGCAGCAGGAGGTGGTCAGCCTGGCCTGCTGCCAGGAGAAGAAGGGCTTCAGGCTGAGACGTGGAGAATTGCAACTGTAGGTCTATGTTGGTCAGGGAAGTGGCCACGGGCACCTCCAGGTGGTTCTCACCGAAGAAGGAGGCTGGGTGAGAGAGGGAGCTGTGGTCAAGGCTCACACCTTGCCTGGAGGAGGAGAGGTGCTGCAGAGATAGGCAGGTGGCTGCAGGGAGGGGGTCCTGGGCTGAGGTACCCTCCTGGTTCTCTGTGGCCCAGCCTGAGAGTATTGGCCAGCTCCCGGAATCCTCTTGCTCCCAGCAGAAGGCACAGTTTCACCTTGTGTCCAGTCCAGGCCTTGGACATGAAGAAGGCCAGACCAGAAGTTTCCAGTAATCTAGATCCCTTTCTTAGAGGTTGTAGGGCAGAAGGCCTCGAACAGCTCTGGTTCTCTCTGGGGCCCCAGAGACTCTTGCCTCAGTGTGGAACCTCCCTGGTCCATAGGAAACCATCCCTGGCCTGAAAACCTTGTTTGGTGGTCACAGAGCCTTGAAATGGAGTGTCAGAAGAATCACTTCTAATCCAAGCTAATCCGTGCTAACATTCCTTCTCCTGGGTGCCCCCAGGGGCACCATACCGGCAAGGGTTCCTGGGAAATCCTTGCCACACCACGTCTACGTTCATGGTTGGCTGGGGCCATGCTGATGCCTGATGGTGGTTCTCAGACAGACAGCCCACCCACCCGGCTCTTCTCCTAGGCCATTCTTACAGCTGCATTTTGGGGTGGGGGTAGCGGCTTGTTGGTCTGAGTCTGCCAAGGAGCAAAAGCTCGGAGGCCAGATGAAAACCACTTGCAGTGTCAGACCCAAAATTGGCCCAAACTTCCTCCATCCCCACTGCTATTGCTTCCTGCTGCAGAGCTGTTACCAGTCCCTGGTGAGCACTCAGATCCACCCCTATGTTTCCACCATGGCCAAGGAGTTTGGGATGACAACAGCTGAGATCCTCCTTCCTCAGGACAATCTGGGGCCTGAGGCTGAAGACACGGTGTGGGAGGCCAAAGGGTCTGCTGAGCAGGCCAAAGAGGGCTCCCAAAACAGCAGAGCCTGTTTGGTCACTGCGTAGGGTTCCTCTTGTACCACACTGGGGCACTTTCTTTTATTAGTTACTGTTTTCTTTAGGCAGTTTCCTAAAATTAGCCTCCCTTGATCTCTAACCTGCCACCACAATTTCTGGTCCATTCCTTTTGCAGTGTTTAGAATAATTGTAACCTTGACTCCGCCTGCAGATGACCAGGGCTGGGGCTGGGTGTGGGGGGCAGACAGGAATGGGGGAAAGGAGGACTCAGCTCTTTTGGGCTCCCCTGAAACCCTGTGAATAAGCACAGGCTGATGGCCTTGATAGGGATAATCTGGCACCAGCCACACACGTGCTGGTCCCCAGCCAGCCTGAGCCAGCTGACATCTGCCTGAGGAAGTAGCATCAGCCACTGGAGGGGCCTGAGCCTTGTGTGCCCTGGGAGGGATGTGCAAGAAAGATATCGCTCTTCCCTAGGCTGGGCTGGAATCCCCTCCAGCACCTTCTCTTGCCAGCACTGCTGGTAACACTGGAACCTTGTCTGGGAGCTAACAGGATCAAGGAAGAATGCTAAAGCATCTGGGCAGGTGCAGCCCAGTGGGCTCAGCAGGCCCAGAGCACCTCAGGCCAGTAAGGGACAGACCAGGAAACTGACAGGTGGTGAGTGCCTATAGGGGCACCTATAGGCAAGGTCACTGCTTCTGCTTCTTGTAACAGGGATTGAGCCCAGGGGCGCTTAACCACTGAGCCACATCCCCAGCCCTTTTTGTGTTTTACTTTGAGATAGGGCCTTGCTAACTTGCTGAGGCTGGCTTTGAACTTATGATCCTCCTGCCTCAGCCTCCCAAGCTGCTGGGATTACAGGAATGTGTCATCATGCCTGGCAGATCATTGCTTCTTAAGAGCACAACACAGCATGCTAAACTGAGGGCAGCCGTGGCACAGAGGATGGGGCATGCAGCCCCCACAGGATGGAGCCACCATGGAGATGGGCTGGGGTGGCTCACAGCAGCTGGCAAGAGCCAAGTGTTAAAGTTTCAGGAATTCGGTGAGCCAGGTGATGTTGCCCACAGTGAGAATATTTATATCATGGAAAGAAGTAAACATGTCAATTCAAGACTCCCCCTCCCCTCCAGAAATCCTGTTGCGAAACATTGACCTGCTGGTCTCCCACAAGGAAGGGGGCGCCTCTCCCTCCCCTGGTGGGAGCCAGCCCACCCACACTCCCTTGCATTGAAGGTGTACGTAAACTGGTTGGGATGTGGTGGAAGCCAGGGCGCTGGGCCAGGCAGGAACTGAAGTACATGGCTGGCCCTAACCATTCAGCCACCTGCGGCCAGCCCCCTCCCACAGGAGAGAGCAGCAGTCTGTTTGGCCAGAGTGGGAGGGCGGCAGGAAGCAGAGGTACTTTCCAGAGAGCTGGGGTGTGAATGGGCCTATTGAGGGGCTGGGCCCTGCTGTTTCCTGTGGGTACGGGCGAGGAGGGGCTCACACTGGCTGCCTTGTGCTCTGGAGTACGCAGGCCAGGCAGCCCCTTGTCCCGGCAGAGGCCTTGCTGGCCAGGGCTTTGGAAACTCTGACAGAGCCTCTCCCCCTACTTCTGTTCTTCTTCTGCCCCTCTTACCCTCTCTGATGGGCTACAGTTGCAAGAACCCAGAATCCCTGTCCTGGAGGTGGGGGAGCAGCTGAAGGGGGCTTTGAATGTAGAGGGGAGCAGGATAAAGAAGCCTCCAACTGAGCCAACTCCGGAAAACTTCCTGGAGGAGGTGAGGGTGCCACAGATGAAGAGAGGAAGGGGAAGAGACCATCTCTGAGGTGGGCAGTGAGGCCATGTGAGGGGCCAGTGGGAATACACAGGTCCTCCTTCAGTGGGGCAGAGGATGTTTCTGCCCCCTCATCCCCTAGTGGCTCTAGAAGGTAGAGAAGCAGAAGGAAAAAGCAGCATGAGCCACGACAGGTGTAGTGACCAGATTAGGGCAGTGTAGTGGGGAGAGATGGGCGGTGATGAGGCATCGCACAGCTGAGACCTGCCCTCCATTCTCTTGACCCCAAAGATTTATCAAAACACCAGCCCAGACTTGCAGCAGTTGGGTAGACTATTCCATTCACTGGCAGGTCAGGTCTCAGTGGTACCATTCTGTGAAATGGACACTCCTTGCCACCCCTTCTCACTTCTGACTCTGGGGACTGATCCTGGAGGTCCCTTCCAGGTCCAGGAGTCTGCTCTCCAGTATGGATGTGCAGAGGGTTAATGGTATGGGCTGCCAGGGTCGTACCAAGCCTTCAGCATAGAAGGAGCAGGATGCCCTGAGGGCCTGGGGGACATGCAGAGGAGCAGGAGGACAGCGTGGGCCTGGGCCTCCCTGTCTGGAGGAAGGTGCATAGGGAAGTATCCAGGGCTATGCAGATGTGTACTCGCGAGTGTGTGCAAGTGGGTGGCTGACGGGGTGTGCTTTGAGTTTGCATAAGGCTATGTGTTTGTGTGTGTGCGCGTGTGGGCCGGGAGCTGCCAGGACAGAGCAGCGATTGTGCCCAGGCCTGTCCTGCCTCTTAGTGCTTGCCCGCTGCTGCTTGGCTGGGCCTGGTGGTGTGAAAGCAGCCGTGTGTTCCTGGAGGGCTCCTGCCCCTCCCGCTGGCGCCCATCCGAGAGGTCGGCCGAAGGTGGAGAAGCCCTCAGCTGCCCACCCTTCCTCCCAGAACAGGGCTCTGCTGTGCAGGGCGCTGTTGCCTGGGCCCAGGGTGGGGCGGCTCTGTCCTTCTTGAGACCTGAGGGCATAGAAAGAGCCCTGTGTCCTTTCCTGCCAATCCCCTTCTCAGATGGGCAGATGAAGCTTGAGTCAGGGTCCCCCAGCAAGCCACCATCTGGCAGGTCATGGGCTGTGTTGGCATCTCCTGGCTCCCTGGGGGCATCCCTGGGATGTGTGTGAATGGGGACCTGGTCCCTGCCCCCGGGGAACCCTAAGCACGAGGCCTGCTTCTTATCATATGCCCGACCTTCTGCCTGTCAGTAGGTTCTTGGGATAAGGGGTCCTTGTGTGGGGAGCACCTCGGTGCATTAGGCTCCTGGCAGGGCAAGGCCCCAGCCTTTCCTAACCTGAGGCTGCTGCAGAGCCTGCAGAGTTCTCAGGATGTCTGGGGACACGCCAGCTGCCTCTGTCCCTGTCTCTGTCTTGTCCTCTCCGCCATGCATGCCAGCCTGGACCTCTATTTTGCCCTGGTCCTTCCCTAGCTTGGTCTTTGGCTCCTCCTGCCCTAGGACAGTCTGGGGAATCAGGCCTGGGGCCTCCAGCCATCCCCGCCCTGTACCTCCAATTCCTGGGAGTTGAGTCCCCCAATATCAAAGTTGTCTGTAGCCCAAGCCTGAGATAGACTGCACTTTCCAGACAGACACACGGAGGCTCCAGGGGAGAAGCACCTGACAGGGAGGCAGAAAGAGCTGCAGTTCCTGGCCTAGCCACCCGAGGCCTGCTTCCCAGGCTCCCCAGGGGCACCCTACTCCCTGGCAGCGGATCCCTCTGTGCCCTGCTCTCTGCCACATTCCCGTTTGCCTGGGGGCAGCCAGGCAGGCCCCACAGCCGGCGTGCGTCATGGGCGGTGGCAGCATTCCTGGGTGTCTGCTGCTGCCTGACTTTATAAGGGAGTAAGTGGGAGCCCAGAGCCACCGGGCAGGATGGCCAGTGAGAAATGCCCGGGGCCCAGCTGAGGGTGGGACTGGAGACCCGGGCATGGGAGTGTTGGGGGGCACTGAGTGCTGCTCTAAGGGAGAGGTGGCTGGGAAGGGGGGGCATATTCATCATTCATTCATTCACAAATGCTAGAAGGCAGGGATGCGAGAGCCAACCTGGAGACAGTGAGCCTGAGAGAGAGATTGAAACTTAGAATAAGAAGCCCGGCGCGGTGGCGCACACCTATAATCCCAGGAGCCAGAGAGGCTGAGGCGGGAGGATCGTGAGTTCAAAGCCAGCCTCGGCAACTTAGCAAGGCCCTAAACAAGTCAGTGTTCCCAATCTCAAAAGAAAAAATGAAAAGGGTTGGGATGTGGCTCAGTGGTTAAGTGCCCCTGGATACAAT